TATATTTATTAATGAACCATAATTATCGTTATCTGGAAGCTAGGTTAAGGGTAGAGATGAGCATCAATATGGTTTCATGCCTAGAAAGAGTACAACAGATGCAGCATTTGCTTTGAGGATGCTGATGGAGAAGTACAGAGAAGCTAATACAGAGCTGCATGGTGTCTTTGTAGATTTAGAGAAAGTGTAAGACAGGGTTTCAAGAGAGGAGCTGTGGTATTGTACGAGGAAGTCTGGAGTGGCAGAGAAACATATTAGAGTGGTGCAGGACATGTATGAGAGCTGTAAGACAGTGGTGAGATGTGCTGTAGGTGTAACAGAAGAGTTCAAGGTGTAGGTGGGTCTGCATCAAGGATCAGCTCTAAGACGCTTCTTGTTTGCTCTGGTGATGGATAGGATGACAGATGAGGTTAGATAGGAGTCTTCATGGACTATGATGTTTGCAGATGACCTTGTGCTTTGTAATGAGAGCAGGGAACAGGTGGAGGAAAATCTAGAAAGGTGGAAGTATGCTCTGGAAAGCAGAGGAATGAAGGTTAGCTGCAGCAAGACAGAATACATGTGTGTGAATGAGAGGGACCCAAGTGAAACGGTGAGGCTACAGGGAGCAGAGGTAAAGAAGGTGCGGGACTTTAAGTACTTAGGGTCAACGATCGAGAACAACGAAGAGTGTGGAAAGGAGGTGAAGAGGTGTGTGCAGGCAGCTAGGAACGGGTGGAGAAAAGTGTCAGGTGTGCTGTGTGATAAAAGAGTATCAGTGAAAATGAAAGGAAAGGTGTACAAGACAGTGGTGAGACCAGCGATGCTCTACAGCTTAGAGACAGTGGCACTGAAGAAAAGACAGGAGGCAGAGTTGGAGGTAGCAGAGCTGAAGACGCTGAGGTTCTCTTTGGGAGTGACAAGGATGGATAGGATCAAGAATGAGTCCATCAGAGGGACAACCCATGTTATATGTTTTGGAGAAAAAGTCAGGGAGCCCAGATTGAGGTGATTTGGACATGTTCAAATGAGAGATTGTGAGTACATTGGTAGAAGGATGCTGAGGTTGGAACTGCCAGGCAGGAGGTCTAGAGGAAGACCAAAGAGGAGATTTATGGATGTAGTAAAAGAGGACATGAAGTTAGTTGGTGTGAGAGAAGAGCATGCAGAGGATAGGGTTAGATGGAGGCAGATGATTCGCTGTGGTGACCCCTGAAAGGGAACAGCCAAAAGACAAAGAAGAAGAATTACCGTAGTCTTTTTGCAGCATGCTCTGACTGATCCAGCTCTTTGGAGTTGCATGCTGAATCAATCAAATATACTCTGCTTTCTGCCACACTCACGTACTGTAATCACAGACAAAATAATATTCTGTATTAAATCACCACATCTAGTACAGTACAGCAAGTACAGTAAAAACATCATGATACATATACTGTACATATACCAAACAGTAGCTTCCAGTGTGCATTGTCAATGTTAACAAATGTTACAAATGACACTATGGCTCTGTAGTTGTCAAATTTGACCTGCAAAACATCCAAAACAAGCAAATTTATATAGTGACATCAGTACCTCTTTTTTAAATTTATATCACCTGTATAAATATTTCACTCATTTACATTTTATTTTGATTGCCTTCAGCAACTATACAGGCCCAGAAACAACTTTTCAGAGCAAGCATGCAAGCAGCCATCAAGCAGTTACCAATATATAAACAGTAGTTACGGTACCTTTGACAGACTGTTCCTCCTAACTTGACCTCTCTCTCCAAATAAGATCACACTGGCCGTATAGTAATTCAAGATGTAAATTGTACTTTCAAATTGAAGTTCATTGGCAGTGTGATGGAGGAGGCTGTTGGGTTCACTTGACACAAATGTGAGCGAGCGGTGAAATCAGCAGACCCAGGCGGCTGCCTTCGGTGCAAGTAGTGATTTTATTTAACAGTGCTAAAATAGTGCAAATATATATATATACAAAATGAAGGTATGAATATGACCGGGTGTCGACCAGCAGTGGTCGGAGTTATTGTCCGTGGAGTGATGATGATGGGCCGGGCTGCAGGGGTTGGAATCACTCCTGGGCTGGTCGGGTTGGAGATCCGGTAGACTGAGGAGGTAACAAGAGGGTTCAGTTAATGTGGAGACTGTGCATCGACCTGTGATGGTGGCTGGTGGAGCTGAGGGTGCCAGGATCCAGAGGAGAAGTCCAAAAGGTGAAGAGAGAGGCTAGGAATATACAACATACGTAGAACAATGAGAAATAAGCAAAAACACTACTCTAAGGGAGAGCTGACGACAGAGAAAGAACTAGCAGGGGAGTGATGGGTAAGCTGAGTATAAATAAGGAGTGAGACAAAAGGAGGCACAGCTGAAGAGTGTCGGAAAATCAGGGCAGGTGTGTCTAATCAAAATAATCAGTGTGAGGGAGCTAACTAGGGCGAGAAAGAGAGAAGAGAGGAAGGTGCAGCCGGGCAAACCTGACAGAGGCATTCAATGACCTTAAGAGAGTGTGCACATGTATAAGTTTCCATTCATAAAGTAAAATATAAATTTTATAAAAGGCTGTTTCATCTCAGTGTGAAAAGTTCTAAACATATTAATACCAGGTAGTGAATTTTTTTTATATGGTAATTTTAAAAAAATTAAAAATTTAGATTTTTTGAAAGGTTGTGTGAATAGAACAGAATAGAAATACTTTATTAATACAAATTTTGGAAATTCTTTTGTTGTAGCAACAGTTCACACATTGAACAACAACAAATTCACACAAGAATAAGAATTAAAA